ACCTGGTCTAGTTTTGAGTGCCAAAATGAAGCATTTCCAATAATTTTTTCCATAGATGTAGTCAATCTGAATCCTGTGCAATCCACCACATGAGGTCTGTGTATATAGTCACCATTTATGTTTCTTAAAAAATGTATTTGGCCCGAGCCAGCCTGGGAGCCCGCGGAGCCGAGCGCCGCGAGCGCGAGAACCCGGGCGGCGGTGGTGGTGGTGGCGGCGCACACTATGGCTCTGGCCGGCGACCGCGAGGGCTACTGGGGTCCCACGACCTCCACGCTGGACTGGTGCAAGGAGAACTACGCCCTGACCTGGTATATCGCCGAGTTCTGTGAGTGCGGGCAGGGACACCTGGGCAGCCGGCCCGAGGCAGGGAGGGCAGGAGAAAAGGCGCCTGGCCTGGAGGGGAGACGCGGCGTGAGGAAGGGAAAGGGCGCGGGAGTCGGGCGGACCAGGCGGCAGGAGAGGTACCGCGTCTGGCTGGGGAGGGTGGAATGGGAGAGCCCTGAGCCAGGAGAAAGAGTGGGGGATGCCACAGATGAGGGGTGCACACCCGCGAGTCAGCGTGCAGGAGGAACGCTGGAGTCTGAAGCAGGGTAGCCTGAAGATTGGGGGCCGGAAGAGAAGGCAGAGTCTCGGCTGGACCCCAGAGGACAGCCTACGGTGCAGGGTTGGCTGGAGAATTTCCCCTGATGGGTAGAGTAGGGCAACCTGGGGACACCCAGGAAGAGGTGATGAGGTGGAGGGCTCTGCCCATTTGAGGCCGCAGGACACCTGCTCGGACTGTTGCTTCTCTACCTTCCCTTCCCTCAAATATGTGAAACCAAGGTCTTTCCCTTCTCCTTCCTTATTAGACTTCTTCATTCCTCTCCAGGGAACAGTTTTACTGGTTTTAGAATTACCCTCCGCCCAATCTCACAACTGCTCTGTGATACCTTCTTGGACCAGGGCTGGGGCTCCTCTTGAGCATTTCTGTTGAGCTATTTCTTTGCAGCAGATAGAAGGCAGAGCATATGGGTGGGTTGTATCCTTCTTGCTCTTGCCAGGCTCTCAAAAAACCGTTCCTGCTCAGTTTTTCCTCCTGTCACACCACCTTAGGGGTCAAGGATCATCCGAAGACACGGATTCCACTGACTGTACCTGATGGGCACTGTGGGACCAGGAGGTCAAGATTTTGCTTTCTGTGTGACTAGGCTAGGAGAGCCTAGCATGGGAGAAATATGCCACTTATTTGAACGTTGTTTACTTTGGTCAAGTTTTGAGAACACATGCTTTGATATTGCTTCCAGGTACCTGCTTCTGAAAAGGCTCAGCAGATGCCCTTTGGCTAGAGAAATTATTGCTTTCTCTTAATTGAACCAATTTCTGAGGACAAAACTGGTTTTAGCCCTTCTTCCAATTGCTAGGCCCCTCTCGCAGGCATATGTATTTGGCTTTGTAGAAAAGAGGCAAGGATTTTATGCCTCTTTTGAGGGAGCTCTGGTGACCTAGTGGGTAAGGACTTGTGCTGCCAGCTCAAAGTCAAGTGGTTCAAATCCACTAGTTCTCCTGTACGTGAAAGAGGAGCATTTTCCTTGCTGTGTGTCAGTTCCAATTTAACAGCAGTGACAGTCCTGTTTTGAGGAGCCCTGGTGTCTCAGTGGTGAAATACTTGGCTGCTAACCCTAAGGTCAGCAGTATGAAACCACCAGCTTCCACAGGATAAAGATGAAGTACTTGGCTTATGTAAAGAAGAATACAGGCTAGAAAACCCTATGGGGTATTTTCCATTCTGTTCTAGAGAGTCACAATGAGTCAAAATGGACAAGGTGAAAATGAGTTTAATCTTATTTTGTTCTACTCCTAGTAATTAACTAAGATAAGTCCAAAACAAAACAGCATTGTTATTGGCAGTTTTCTGGTTTTAATACCATTCCCTTTAAACCATGATTTAAACTAAGAGTTACTGTTTTTGAACTGCTAGTTTTGAACATACATGGACTGCCAAGGAAAAAAATAAATCTGTCTTGGAGAGGAGGAAACCAAGTTTCTCCTTGGAGGCTAGGATTTCGAAGCTCTTTCTCACATACTTTGGTCATGTGGCCAGGAGGGACCAATCCTTGGAGAAGGAACAGCACAAAAGAGGAAGGTCCTGGAAGAGATTAATTGATAAAGTAATGGGGTAATGAGGGTAGGTATATTGTAGTGAGACTGGCTCGGGACAGGGCAGGCTTCAGAGCTGTTGTACATAGGGCCGCTAGTCACAGGTGACTTGACAGCAGAAAACAACAGTTTAAATCATTCTTGAATAATAGTGAAGTAATAGGGGCAAAGGGATCATTAAGTGTAATTACTTAGCATCCCAAATGTTGGCAAAGGATTTGTAACACATTATCAACTTGTTAAATCATGTTGGTAAGCCCAGACCTGGTCTACAGGACTATATCATGACCTTGAAGGAAGGGATTTGAAATCCTGCTCTGTGAATTAAAAGGTCTGACATGGAAAAGAGAAACTCGGGGATTTTCAACTATTGGGTGAGCTATCATATAGTACAATTAAACTTTCTGCATTTCTCTGAAATGCACAGTCAGATCCTATGGGTCGAAATTAATTGGAAAGAGGGTGATTTTGCTTCAACATAAGGAAAAACTTTTAGCCAATGCTGCAGATTGAAACCTGGCTGGAGTTGGAGGTAGGGACATTTTTGTCACTGAAAGTATTGAAGTTAGACACTACTCAACTAATTTCATGTGAATGTTTTAGGGAGAATGAATCATTTGGTAGAGAAAGATTGTTAGCCACAGTTGGGTTCTAAGTCTCATTGTAGCCTTGTGGATTTCCCAAAGTAATAATGATTCTTAGTTTAGAACCAGAGTTTGAAATTAAAATAAAAAAAGAAAACTGGCAGTTAAGTCTTGTGGGCAGGGAGAGAGCAAGATACAACTGTTGGCAGATAACTATGAGAAATGGGAAATGGCTGTTTAGTTCTGAGTGTCCTCAAAAGAGGAAACTCTGAGTAGACAGATTGCAGGGAGGGTTTTGACATAGGAATCAGAGGAGGTGCGAGAAAAGAATAAATGAATGCAGGCATCCTTTTGCGCATGTACTTTAGGAAAAAATGAACTGGAGGAAGTTGAGGTAAAGCTTTTTTACCACTGCAACTGGTACTTATCATCTTTGAGAGAAAAATTTGGCCTTTGAAAATGAAACTGATTATATCAAAAGAAAGCTATGCTGATTAATAATTATGCATTTAAAACATTGTGTATAAAATAAATGTTATATCGTGTTGGCATGAAGGATGATGATGATGATAATTATAGTTATTTAAATGCTGTGTGCCACGTTTTGCAAAATCCTTCATATATTCCTTTGGTCTTTATAATAAACCCCAAAGGAGAGTATTAATATCATCCTTGTTTCACAGGTTTAGTCACACTCATTCATTGCTGTTGAGTTTGAGGTCACTCATAACTGATCCTCTCTTGTGTTTCTAAGACTGTAAATTGTGCAGAGGGAGGTTTCCCATCTTTCTCCAATGTAACTGCTGTTGGATTGAACTAGAAAGGTGCAACTTTTGGTTTAGCAGCACAACTCCCTACGGACTATGCCATCAGTGCTCCCTATTTCACAGGTTGTTGTTATGTGCTGTTGAGTCACCTGTGACTCATAGCAACCCTATGTACAACAGCCCTAAACCCTGCTCTATCTCTTGCTAATCTTTTTGTCTCTGACACACCTATCCCCATTACCCCAGTGACTGAATCAATCCATCTCATTGAGGGTCTTCCTCTCCCCTTTAGTCCCTCCACGCTCCCAGGCATGACGGCCCTCTCCAAAGACTGATCCCTTCTTGCA